TCAAGTTGAAATGAATGGGGAATGAACCGTGTTACTTCAACGCGCGGGTTTTGAGCAGAACTTTGCTCATGGCGGGCTAGGCGCGCACGAGGTGTGCAGGAGTGTTTGTGTGTGTTTGATCGGAAATCAATAACTACGGTTCTCAACTACCAGTACCCAAATATGAATGTAATACAGGCGGCGGGTCAATTTAGGAGGAGAGCCCGGCGTCAACAGGGCGATCCGACTGGTCTACTGAAAACTCACTTACTTCCACATACAACTGCTAAATTAGGGAATTTTTTTTTCGAACTCTTTGCGGGGTACGTACTTTAACTTCATCAGGCTGACGCTACAAAGAGGGTTGTTCAGAGGCTGAAAGGATTAAACAATTTGATACAATCTGACCATTTTCAGATGAATTACTACAGTTTGAGAGTGCGTGCACTAAAAGTCCCGAGCTTCAGCAGCTGGTCTAGAAGTCTAATCGATTTAAAAAGAGTTGAGAAAAGCAGAGGGACTCACATTAACCTGGGATGGTACTCATGTGATCACCCACGAATGCGAATTTAATAGTTTTCAGATTTTCTTCCTTTTAGAATGTCGCTCGCTTCGTTGATCCAGGTGTGTTGGTAGCACAGGTGAATAGTTTGAACTACAGCATCGGCGTTCTACAGCGCTTAGAGGAATCAACGGCTCAGTTCACGGACACTGACGCCTTCAATGAGGTAAGAGCTAGGGTGTAATGTTTTCCTCCAAGCACTAGTTCTCTATAGAGCATTTCAACCATTTTTGGATCACTAGCCAAGACTAGTTGGTTGGCTGAAACTCCAAACTAGTAGGTCTTACGTCAAACTGCATACCACAAAGGAGCTCAATTGTATGAGTAACATGACAACTTTAGCCCTGCTTTTCCGTACCGACCCAGAACGCTTAGAACTTTTGACTAGAATGTTTACTGTTGGTCACTACTTATTTCACCACTAGCTTGCAATAGAAAGGTTGCGCCAGCCTTCCCAGGTATCCTTTTGTATATACATCTCGCTGACTCGGACTTTGCGAATGAGAAAATGTGACGCAACTCAAGCTTTACCAATCTCCGTTGCCATTAAAAGCACAGTTTACGTTGATTCTGAGGTGACCATTTTGAGTAGAAAAGAGTAAGTGTTGACGGAGAGTAGTGCGTCGACGGCGAAGAAGGCGAGAAAATCAGCCTACTTCGCGATAAGTAACCTCCAAAGGTAGTGGAAATAGAGGTCGAATGGGATGTAACGACGGAAGTGGCATGGGAGGATATTTGGACGAGATTTCATTTGTTACAAATGCGCAAAGAACTGACTACATCAGGTCGGAATCGTCTAAAACTGCCTTCTCTGCAACGTCGTTGAGACTAGCCGCCGTGTGTGTGGTATTCACACAATACAATGTCTGGCCCCTTATTGTGCCCTATTCAGGACGTTTCCCGACCTGACATCGGCACATGTGATATCAAGGGGGGGGGGAGGAGGGGCTGGAATTCAACTATGGGGAAATCTCAGAAACTATTTTTTTCGAAATTTGTGCCTTCAAAGAACGAACGAGAGGAAGTGAAAGCGTTTCATCTGAAGCTTCGAATGAGAAAGCTTTACACAAGTCTTTACTTACTTCCAGGGCATCGTCGGAAACTTCAACGCCGACCCGAATGAAACACTGACTAAATTTACCTTGTCGAATATCCGCAGTTCAGGAGCTCTTTCATTCGCGATGGACCTAGAAATTACTGAGTAGGGTCTGGCACCTTCTCCCCCAACGGCGTGTCGCGCTCGCCGCACGCGATCGCGCGCTATGAAGGGAAGGATTCGAATTCCCAATGGAACGATACGGAGAGTCGCCGCGCAACCACTGCCGTGGGCCGTGGGAATTCGGGGAGGAGTTCCGTTACCCACTAAGTAGACAGCTCCGCAATGGAATAATTCATATTATCATCAGTCAAAAGTTTTGCCTAGCGGATATCGCTGTCGCTGCGCAGTTCTGAGCAGGATCGGGCCATCGTTTCACCCGTACTAATTTGCATGGCTAAAGAATGCTACGAAGATCAGGAACGAAGCCTCAAAACGGCCATCGATTGGGATCGTTCCGCTCCCCCTGCCAGTTTATGGAAAGACAAGTGAGCTGCACGCTCATGCGTGCACCACATGTCCACAACCGCTCATCTACGATCCTACTCGAGAAGAGCAGTGAAACATTTTTATGTTCCGTATAAACGACAGTGTTTAACCCGTTTCATTCCTGAAATCGCGCATTAGACTAAAGCACTCAAGAGCAAACCTTTCAAGAGTGTAGCTGTCATTACATTTATATTGAAATATCGTTCTAGTTTGTTTGTAATTGCGCATCGGGGCGGAGGTGCAGAAAAGCACTGACTTGTACATTGACCGGCCACCGCAAGTCATTGCATAGGCCACATACGCATTCAATACGCCACTACGATTCTAAATGGAAGTCTAATGCGCGACTGCCTTCTGAAGGGATTGATTAGGGCCCCAAAACATTATTTAATTGCGCATCAGAGATGGCATGGAAAACAGACAGCAGACTCTTCGATGATGCCTGATACCAACAGACGCCAATGTAAAACGTTTCCTAGCCTACATTCTCTGTTTTTGAAAAGACTGGTTAGCCTGTGGTCTACTTCCCCACCGCGCTCTTGTCATCTCCACGCTCGTGATCGTGCCTACGTGACTTTTGCGAGGTCACACAAACGGATATACAAACAGACACGCAAAGTTAGCGGATTATATATAGAGAGAATTCCGTTATCATCAATGTGGATGAAAAATACATCAGGTTCGCTGAACATTTTTTCATTAATTCTATGGAAGAAGAGTCTACAAGTCGTAATGGAACGCCTCTCTCGAGTTGATAGCTAAAGTAGAGCCGCGCAAGCTGCAGGCAATCATCAACTAATGCCAAAACTTGCGAAATTAGGCAGAGAGGCGAAAATGAATAGCTTGAAAGATGGAGGAGAAGCAATCCCGACTGAAGATTGGGAAGAGCATTTACTCACGATAGCTTCGTCATTTCAAAAACTAACGATTTCCCTACATCGTTCTGACGGAACAGTCACAGCTACTCAAAGGGCACGAAAGAAACCTATCAGGACTCATACTCGGATCTTCTCAACGGTCATATTAACCTGCCGACATTCATCAAATTCGGCGTGGGTGTTCGTTCCTTCATTTCTCAAGTCTGTAATTCGAAATACCGTTGAGTCGATGAAAATAGTGCGGCATTCGGTCTAGACAGGATTGAGCCAGGACATCCTCTCAGCCTGCGTCAGTCATCGTCAAAATCGTGCCTCGACAAATCCGAGAATACAAAATAGCCATATCGTGGTAAGCTATGAAGACTGGTAGTAAGGATGTGCTGCTGTGTAAGGACGGAGACCCGAACGATATTGACAACTACCACCTAATCTGCGTGCTGTCTATCATCTACCATTCTTCACACTAGCCATCCTCAGAAGAGTTGGCGGAACACTGGATCCTGGTGCTCCTTTCACACTGAACGGACGAATATCTCTGAATGCTCCGCCTACATGTTATCTCTGTCGAGCTCCGGAGCTGAGCAGAAGGAAACACGCAGAGCATGAAGCATTCAAGAGCATCGAAGGAGTAGTGTAAAGACAATGAACATACTGCTCCACGCTCACCCTTCCGAAATTGCTGTTCTTCTTGCTTTTATACGCCTTACGCTTCAGAGATTCGAAGTGTACGGCTGCTTTCATAGTCCGCCGGCCGGCGGACTATGAAAGCAGCCTACGCAAGCGCGCTGAGAGTGCAATTAAAGCCATTCAACTTGCTATGGAAAGGACAATGCTCAGAACGCGCGGCAAAATTCGTGGCAATCGAAAACGGCTTAAGCGCATATTTTTGGGGTCCAAGAGTCAATCAGTGCGATCATTTGACCATACTGGTGTACTCTACTTCAAGTTTGCGCCAAGATGCCAAGGTGATAGGTGCCAGAGTCGTCCTGAACGCCACGAATCTGGCCGCGCCATTTGCCGCGTCCATCCAGTTCTGGGTGAATATTCCGTCCCCCACGCAAGTGCAGTGAGGAATCCCTGTTTCAAGCTCCTCAATAGGCGAAAATCGAGGATCCCGCTGCTTGTGCCAATCAACGTTCGGTGAATATTCGGACGAATGTTCGAACGCGAACGTTCGGTGAACAGACTGGTAACAGTTGATAAGAGCTGTTTCATCGCTGTAAAATGCTAAAGTTACTGGACCACTTCCCTTCGCATATTGACAGTGTGGTTTTGCTGTTTCAGAGTATGATGCAGTATCAAATTAGATTGTATTCAGATAACGGGACAAAGTGATGAGAAAACAGCGCTTTACGTCCGATGAGAGAAACGGAAAGCAAATGCTACATACTCCCAACCCCTTCTGTGTTTACATTGTTGCTTTTCAGAAGAAAACCTTCACGGTTGCTTTCAGGAAAAGCTTTCACTTGGAGAAAAATGGCAACACCTATGACACTATCTAGAACTATAAGCATAGGTGAAAACGTCAACGACGACACAGAGCATTTATTGCTACGCAACTTATGTATTGCGCTTTGCGGCGAGAACAGCACCTTCCGGAGAAGGAATCCTCTTTAATTAGATTTTTTCACCCAGCTATCCACATCCACCGGTCACCTAATTACTCGAATGACAGCTTGCATGAATTGATTTCATCACATGTACTGGCTACGGTAATAGAACTTTCCATCCCAAGGTGAAAATACAGCCGCTGGAGTTGATTTGGCGGTAGAGACACCAGTGACTGAACTTTATTCCATATCACATCCTCTTTTATACGGCCCTTATCATCCTTCCGTGAACCTTCTTCCTCTTCTTCTGCACGTGGCCATTCCATTCGTCCCTCTTTACTATACTGCCGCCCTAAACCGCTCTATCCCCTGGTACGGCAAACTTATGCTTCACTTTACAACAAATCACAACGATGAAATTCTTGAAATAGAGCAAATAATTCCAGAAGTTTACGAATGAATACGACAAAACGCAAGGGATTGTTACGCCAGTGACCGACGCCGTCACAAACCAAGAACCAAACTTTTCTACGGCAGCAGGCAAATCCTCCTCACTTCGTCAGCAAGCAGAACTTCTCACCAAAATGACCAACTGCTTCCAAACTGGAGGCATCAGCGAAGATTGCGGGAAACTGACAAGTGAATCACTCTTTTGATTGGGGCTCCCAAGATAATTTAAATGTGTGTTCAAAGAGCAAATCAATAAAAATTTATTCAATTCATCCGAAATGGCTCAATTACAATGCAGGGCCTACCTATCAGTTTATGCATGAATAGCGAAAATCCACAGAATAGCCTTTCAAGATTCACAAGAATTAAACAAAATTCGAATTGCTACCCAAAACAATTAAAATTCCAGCACATATATACATTAAGTATATCCATATCCACATTCTTACAAATAGTAGAGTTTCCGATGTTTTGCCTTTGTTGTGCTTGTCAAACAGCAGCCGCCTATGTAAAACCCAAAAACTCCAAGATGAAAATTGAAAACCCTTGAAAAGACTCAAACGCCGATGTACAGGCACGGGTACCATATATCTTTCAAGCATGAAGGAGATTACGTGGAAAGATCAGAAACGGTCGCAAGTAGAACAGCCGACATCAAAAAAGGCTTCCCTCTGCATAGAGAAAACCAAAATCGGTGAAAATTTAGTTAGGATGAGGGAAGCCGCACATAACAGTGTTAATATGACTAGGAACTTAGACGGTTTCACGTTTTGTTCCGAGTTACACCAGGAGAGCATAATTTTTTTGAAACGAAGCCCTAGAAGGAAAGGAGCACCAGAGTGGGCAAATCAAATAAATTTTCGATTTTCACCCATTCCAGCTTCCCACCACCCTAATTTTCCTCTCCTCCTATAGCTCAGCTGAAAACTAAGTTCCTCTTGCTGAAAAGTCATAAGGGCGTGCAGATGACCGATGCCCATTTCTTTCTTCTCTGGCACAGTGCAAGTATAAAACGGGATAGCACGCATCGCCATGTTAGATCCTTGTTATACCAACATGATATGTGCGGCCCCTCCACCCCTCCCCCTCCCCAAGTACATTTTCACCACAAAATCATTTAAAAAACACCTGTATGCTCTCATGAAGCGGAGCACAATGTCTTCCCGCATTATGTAGCAGCCGATGGCGACTTCTGAAGCTGCAACGTAACATGTGTGATGGCAGAAACTATTTGAATGACGTCCTCTCGGGGAGTTCCAGCCAGTTTTGACAGATCTGCTACCATCTGAAAAGCGCAAGGGCCCTTGTGCGAATCTGTGCAGTCGTACACCTTGCCGAACTACTATTCTTGGTGATTAAGTAAAGTGTTCTGAACTTATAATAGTGAGTCTATCCATCCCACTGACATAAACCTTATGTTTAAAAGAAAACTGAGAAGTTGTCAAGGGCAAGTCGGTCTTGAGCTGAGTTTGGAAGGAAAGAATATATCATTGAGTTTCCATAACATTCATCTCTAATTTGCAACAATACAATAATAAGCAATATTCGGATGCAGCGCACGGCGCTCTGTTATCGAATTGTATGGTGTGGTACGGTGTGGTATGGTATGGTATGGTATGGTACGGTATGGTATGGTATGGTATGGTATGGTATGGTATGGTATGGTATGGTATGGTATGGTATGGTATGGTACGGTATGGTATGGTGTGATACGGTATGGTATGTATGTATGTATTGTATGTATGTACGGTAGCGCTCAAAAGTATTCGACGAAATACTTTTTCAGTTGTATTTTTCAGTCGTAACTCCTTTCCTACTGAACCTAATCATGCGAAATTTCAATATGTGTAGCATGGGTGTATTGCGAATATTTGCCACTATTAACCTGTAATCTGATCGTGTTCCAGATATCCCAAAGGGCTTGAATTCGAAATCATCTGGAAATACAGACATTGGCCCTCCTAAAGATTCTTTTCTTTTTGCCATTTTTTAAGTGTACGAGCGCTAGTGCCGAACACAGTAGAGAAGAATAACGCACATAAGGTGCTAATAACTGCACACAAACTAACTTTACTTGAGGAAATTTTGCTACCGCAAAAAACACCCTGCTCTAAATTATGTGGATATTGCTGATTGCCGTCAAACATGGTTGGATGGTGTGAAATATGCTTCATTAAACAAATCAAAATACGCGCGATTAGCTCACGAAGACAAAAGTCATGAACGAAGAAGCGTCAAAGCGTTCGGCCGAATACTTTTGAGCGCTACTGTATGTATGTATGCATGTATGTATGTATGTTGGTAGCTAAATTCAGCACTACTTGAGAAACACCTTCATAGTTGAGACAACTTTGGGAGGTTGTGAGCCTAGGACGAGGTAAACAGAGCCCATATGAGCTCAGTGGAGCTCGGTCCACAAAAGGCGGAGCAAGCGTTGGAATGGGCAGAGCCAGGGAACCAGCGCTTTATTTCAATTTCGAAAAAGCCCAAACACCGAAAAAAAATCAAGGTAAGGAATATGTTAACAAACTAGATGAAGAAGCTCAACATACGGTGGGCGGAGCGGTATCAAAGTGGGAGGTACTCTCCGTACAGATTCATAACTCGGCCTCAACAAATCCCGAACTTTACAAAAAAATAAGAATGAGCAAGACCCCATGCGTGGTGGGCATGTGTTAGGGTTGCAAAGCTCGGCCTACGATGGGCAGGGAGCAAATTCAGATGGGAGATAGTTTTCAAAAAAATTCTATAACTCTGTTCAAAGATGTTATGCAAAGCGGAAAAAAAGTCGTTGGAGGTTGAAGAAGAAATGCTGTCAAATTTTTGAAGTGGACGTGGTTTGCATTAGGTGGGCGGAGCTAACATAGAAATTCGTAACTGTCTTTAAAGACGTATAACGTAGAGAAAGGGGGCCAAAAGGTTTTGAAGGATTTTGGCCAAATCATCAAAGTGAGCGAGGTCGCCTTGAGGCGAGTGAGGTTTGCCCTGAGGTGAACGGACTACTACCCAAAACTCATAACTGCTCAAAATTTGTAAAAAACGAAAAAATGGTCGTAGGGCAAGATATGAAGTCGAATCCCCAAAGCGGCAGGGTTGCAGTGGGTTGGGTGGGACTAACCAGTGGAGGGTTTCATATTCCCATGGAATTTTGTGTAGAGACCTAGGTTATCGAAAGAGTTTGGGAAGCTATAAACAAGTTAGGAAAATAAAACTGCTAAATGGGTCTACGGAAAAGGTTGTGAGTGCACAAAGTTTGCATACGCAAAGCATTGAGGGATATTGCCAGTCGGTATGCGCAGTTGCCCGCAATGACAAGGGTTGCCGCAGTGCAGTGGCAGTGCTCTTCCTCTCCAGGCCAGTGAGGAAGACTCGCTTTCCGTCGTATTAAGGTTTTCCAAAACGTGCTTTTCTTCGATTAGAAGCTTCTGTATCTTTTTTTGTTACTAATTCAAGTCAGCGCTTTGTTTCGGCTACCTTTTCCGATGACCTATCCATCATCTAATACCGCACTTGCTAGCAAAAAAATTTTCCACGTTATTTTTGTAACGCTCTTTTAATTCAATATTGAAACACATAAACCCTCGAGTGAAATTGTCTTGTAACATAGGCGAGCGAGAAAACACAAAATCAATTAAATAACCCAAAAAATGGGCAGAAAAAATGTGTTTTTCGGTCTCTAATCGATTGAGAGTTTTGTCCACGGCTATAAAGAGAAAGCACGTATGAGGTTCGCCTTTTAAGAACAATACATCTGCTTCACTAGTTTCTTTTATTTTCATCAATATTGATGATTTTTAAGCAGATCTGTTTCAAGGTGGTTTCTCCTGTGTAAAGAGGTCTCATTGTCGATCTCGGGAGTGAGGTAGGCTCAAGACTCATCCCGCGTGCCTAAGTTCTACGACGATTTCACTCGGGGATGTGTGTGTTTCAACCTTGAAATAAAAAAGCGTTACAGGAATAACATGGAGAAATTTCTCAGTAAGTGCGGTGATAGGGTGATATAATAGATAGGTGATCGTAAATAGTAGCACAAACAAAGCGCTAACTTAAATTAGTCACAAAGAACGGTTTAAAAACTTATTCGGAGGAAGGCATGTTTTGCAAAAGCGAATACGACAACGGGGAGCAAGTTCTCCTCGCTTGCCCTGGGAGGGAAAACACTGCCACTGCGCCACGGCAACCCTTGTTGTCATTGCGGGCAAATGCGCATACCAGCTGGCAATATCCCCATATGATTTGAGCATGCAAACTTTGAACGGTCACAACTTTCTTCGTAGACCCATTTAGCAGTTTCAATTTCCAAACTTGTTAATAGCTTCCCAAACTCTAGGTATCGATATACTTAGGTCTCTAAACGAAGTTCCATGGAAATTTGAAACACTTTCCTGGTAAGATCCTAAATCATAGCTTTTTTCAAAAAAGCTGTATAAAGAAGAGGGGTGGTTGGAGGGTACAAAAGAAAATTTTTCAGAAGAGTTTCCGAAGTGGAGAGGGGTGGCCCTAGCGTGGGCGGAGCTAGTATCAAAGCCGGGTCAAAAATTCATAACCTTGTTCAAAAAAGTTCTAGAGAAGACAAGGGTCAGAGACCACTTACAAAGTGTAGTCGAATCTCCAAACGGGCATGATTTGAGGAAGGTGTTGCAAAGCAGCGGGCAAGACTAGAATTGGGAATTAACGACTCTGTTCGAAATTGTTTTGGAGCACGGGAAATGGTTTAGACGCTACTGAAGAACTTTGTACGGTCCAGCGGTTATTACATGTACACCGCAACTATTCGTACTGCTATTCGTCTCCTTCTCTCTTGATTTACCTGTCATCATCCTTAAAGAAGCCTCTCTGAAAGAGGAGTGGAACAGCTTAGTCATAATGAAAGAAGTGAGAATGAGTTTGCGCTTCACCTACGAAGAGCACTGCGTGCGACAAGGGTGGTTTCAACTACGTAATTCCTATTCTAGTGTACCAGAAGGTTCAAATTTGGCAGGAGTACAGGTGGCAGGATGGGAATCGTGTGAGCAGGTAGCAGATTCAGAGTCCGCCCACCGCGGGAGGGCCTTGCTCGAAAATTGCTCCTTCAAAGTAGAGCGTTCAAATTTGTGAGGGATGCAGGCTCCGGATGAGAACGCTGATGGTAGGTGACAAGATTGGACACTGTTCATCAAAGGTGAGGCGTGCGATAAAAATTACTTCCTGAAGCTGGAGCGCTCAAATTCAGAATGGATAGAAAACGGCGGCAAGACTGGACTGAGTGGAGAGCGTAGAAGCCGACGATCCTCTTTAGATACTTTCCAAATTAAGCGTCATTAGTTCACGGCTTTGCCATTTCTTGACATGGGGGAGTTACGTGTGATGACACTTACGCTGTGAGGATGTTGGCCGATATATCGATTTGCTATACATATCTGTTGTGTAATTGACAGACAGTGGTCACTTTGTTCCCTTCAGTGGTACAATGTTCATACTCCGAGGAAGATGAAGTGACGTGGAAGGAATATAACTGTAAACAGAGATCGATTATGGTAACCGATTTTGACCAGCTTCGATTAGAACTACACGATATTTGGTGGATGCTTCTCATTACTCAATTTCTTTCGAGAGGAAAAGGTAAGGAGTGATGATAGGCCTATTTCTATGGGTGTGTGTTGGTGTGTGTGTCGATGTATCTTCAACTGGAAACTTATAACTCCTGCTCCCATGGATCTAGAGCACTCAACTTCGGTAGGAGCACAGCTTGCAGGATGGAAACATTGTTGGTGAGTGGCGGGACTGAACCCTCCCTCCCTAAAGGGGGCGCGGCGTGCGCGAAAATTGTTAAGTTGCACCTGGATCGTTCAGACTGAACAGGCGACATCATGGGAATGCTGCCGGTAGTACATATAGACTCCACCCTCAGGGGCGGGGCATGCGCAAAAATTGTTAAATTGAATCGGTGTCCAAGTTTGATGGGGTAGAGGCTGCGTACGGGAATGCTGATGACGGGTGACACGAATCGAGTTGAAAGAAGAGTGGAATAAACCAAGTTCTTCAACACACATTAGTTGAGCAGGATTCCGCTCATGATGGGCAAGGCGAGTGTATGTTGTGTTTGACCGGGAATTTATCATTCCTATTCTCCTGTTCCAGAGCGTCTGAATTTGGAAGCGCCGTGGGAGGTAAGCCATCTTTACACGAGAAGGAAGAGAGCTCGGCGTTAGCTGGGCGATCCGACCGGTATATGTACAAATCAGATACCTGCTCGGTGTACTGAGATGGTGTTACACACATAGCCGCAGCTGTAACCGTGCTTGCACCTAGGAGCATCCAGTCAGCCTTGACGCGTTCAACATCAGCTCTGGAACCAACTTAACTACTTCGCTTATTTTATATTGTGCGTCTGAAAAATAAACCTTGAAATTGATTTCAGAATCTCGGCACTTGTTACCGCCGACTGCAGCACAAACTGGTAAATCTGAAAAAAAATTATTGAAACACAATTGCTAGTTATTGAAGCGAAAAACAGGAGCTACATTTTCATGAGTTTAGATGAAGATTTTGCGAAAAGCCGTGCGCTTACGCAATAATAAACTTTAAAGCACACGCCTGTTCTTGATGCAACAACACAATATCCAGGAATAGTAGAGTCAGTTCCCATATTGACTTGACGTCAAGTTCTGGCCAAGAAGTAACTGAAATTAAAAATCTATTCGATACCACGCAGAATACGAATGTTATGAAGCTGTCAGCCTTACGGAAGGTCTCGCACTATGCTACAGCCGAAAACCTCACGATAGTCCAAATTTCCCTCGGAACTTCTGAAAGCTTCCATAGATATACTATAGAAAGTC